TCAAAACCTTCAGTCGAGTATTTAGGCAGCATCATTGATTCCGAAGGAGTACGTGTTAACCCCAAGAAAGTAGAAGCGATACTGGAGATGGAAACCCCCAAGGATCAGTCAGGTCTAAGAAGATTCCTAGGCATGGTTAACCAGTTGAGCAAATATCAGCCACGAATAGCAGAGCTTTCTAAACCACTGAGAGACCTCCTGAGTTCGAAAAACCACTGGTCTTGGGGTGACGCACAACAGCAGGCCTTCTCAGCCCTGAAACAGAGCCTTGCATCTACACCCACCCTAGCTCACTATGATGCACATCGGGCAACAACACTTTCAAGTGACGCATCATCCTATGGCCTGGGAGCTGTATTATTGCAGAAGCAAGAAAATGACCAATGGCGCCCTGTTGCATACGCCTCACGAGCTATGAGCCCCACAGAACAGCGTTATGCGCAGATAGAAAAAGAAGCTTTGGGCATAACTTGGGCAAGTGAACGCTTTGCAGACTACCTGATTGGACTCAAATTCCACATCGAAACAGACCACAAGCCCTTAGTGTCATTGCTCGGTTCCAAGAGTCTTGAGGATCTCCCCGCCAGAATACAGCGATTCAGAATGCGAATGATGCGCTTCACGTACACTATCAGCCATGTACCTGGTAAAGACCTCTGCACTGCAGACGCTCTGTCACGAGCCCCCATTGTTAGACCATTGAACCAAGAAGAAGAAAAGTTGACTGATGATGTCAAAGCCTATGTTGACTCAGTTATAAAGCACTTACCTGCTACTGAAGATCGACTTGAGGAGCTGAGGTCCCAGCAACAGCAAGATGAAGTTACTAAGCAACTCATCACCTATTGTTCTGATGGCTGGCCAGAGAAATCCCATCTTCCTACTCCACTTAAAGCCTACTGGCAAGAGAGAGGTGACCTGACAGTGCAGCAAGGCTTATTAATGAAAGGCAACCGACTGGTGATTCCTGTGTCTATGCGTCTTGATGTCCTAGATAAGTTACATGAGGGCCATCAAGGCATTACTAAATGCAGAGAGAGAGCCAAAACATCAGTTTGGTGGCCAGGCCTGAGCAAACAACTCGAGGAACTGGTGAACAACTGTTCCACGTGCATCAAAGAGCGTGTAAACAGACCCGAGCCAGTGATCCCATCGGAACTACCCGATCGCCCTTGGCAGAAACTTGCCGCAGACTTATTTGAACTGAAAGGTCAAAACTTTCTGCTTGTTGTTGATTACTTCTCGCGTTATGTTGAAGTTGCTAAGCTAACCCGTACAACTTCACCGGATATAGTGGTACATCTGAAATCTATGTTCGCAAGACATGGTATACCGGACCAACTTGTGTCAGAAAACGGCCCGCAGTTTTCGTCAAACGCATTCGCCCAGTTCGCCGAAGAGTATGCATTTACCCACATTACGACCAGCCCGAGGTATCCACAAGCGAATGGTGAAGTGGAACGCGCAGTTCAAACAGTGAAACACCTGCTTAAGAAAGCTCAAGATCCTTACAAAGCTCTCTTGGCATACCGTGCCACACCCCTTGAGAGTGGACTCTGCCCAGCAGAATTGTTAATGGGAAGAAAAATCCGTACTCAAGTCCCTACTGTTCCAGCGCAGCTAATCCCCAGTTGGCATTACTTGGAGCAGTTCCTAGAAAAAGATGCTTCCCTCAAAGCTAGACAAAAGAAGAACTTTGACAAGCGCCACTTTGCAAAGAACCTCACAGACCTCTCCCCTGGAGAACGTGTTTGGTTACCGGACCGGAGGGTCGAAGGGACAGTTTTGGACAAAGTTGGCACCCCACGGTCTTACGCAGTAGAGACCCCAAATGGCGAGCTGAGGAGAAATAGACGCCACCTGAACCTCCTACCAGACCCACCTGAAGCAGGAAACCAGAGAGACAGTGCAGTTCCTGATCAAGCCTTGCCCAGTATTAAGATCAACAGTCCTAACCAGACCTCAACATCTACTACTCCTAGGAGGACCACGCGAAGTGGTCGCGAGATAAGACCCCCAGAACGTTTTAAAGATTAGAGACTCTGAACTTTACTTTGTTTGCTTATAAGAAAAGTTTGTTTCCGACTTAGAGGGGAGATGTGATGTAATCGCTTTAGATGTCGCATTAGTCTTAGCGGGCGGGCTGTTTTTACCATGTGCTCCTCGTACTTGTACTAGCTCGATTAAAGCTGTTGTGTTATAGCCTGTTTCGCCTCTCAATAACATTACAAAACTGAGCGCGTCTTCTCAGATAACACTTCTATCAACAGATTTGTAGTGTCACAGGCAATACTATCATGTCTAAATTTGATTTATGATAATTGGACCGATGAGTCAGATTTGTATTCGATTAACACTGATGGTGTGTTTATGACAAACCCCAAGCACCAATACCCAAACAAGAAGGATGTTGTTGAGTTTACCATCGATCAGATTGGCAATGTGTTTACAACAGATTCAGAGTGTGTGTGTTTTGAAAAACATTATCGTGACAATTTTGACCCGGATGACGATACTGATTTTGTGGGCGATGGTGTGATTTATTACGGTCAAGCAGGATGCGGTAAAACCACGAAACTCATCAAGCTGGCATCAGAAGCAACAAATCCGATAATCTTATCATTTACTAATAAAGCGATCGAGAATGTGAAATCACGAATCGGCGACAGTTTGCGTTACAAATGTTACACTTTTGATTCGTATTTTAATAGTTACCATAACCGGGACATTTCCCATCTGGCGGACAAAACAATATTTATCGAGGAATATTCTATGACCCCAAATAAGTGGATGAGTAAGATCTATCAAGCGTTCACTAAATATCACAATACACTCTTTTTTTTATATAAGAATATATTTTATAAGAATATCGAGGCTGAAATTTGCGAAATTTTAAGAATATTTTAAGAATAAAGCCAAGGCTGAGATTTTGAAAAGGATAGATATAATTTTGTGTGTTGAAACATCTGTAAATACAATACAATTTTATGTTTTTAACTTAACCNCAAGCCTTGCCCAGTATTAAGATCAACAGTCCTAACCAGACCTCAACATCTACTACTCCTAGGAGGACCACGCGAAGTGGTCGCGAGATAAGACCCCCAGAACGTTTTAAAGATTAGAGACTCTGAACTTTACTTTGTTTGCTTATAAGAAAAGTTTGTTTCCGACTTAGAGGGGAGATGTGATGTAATCGCTTTAGATGTCGCATTAGTCTTAGCGGGCGGGCTGTTTTTACCATGTGCTCCTCGTACTTGTACTAGCTCGATTAAAGCTGTTGTGTTATAGCCTGTTTCGCCTCTCAATAACATTACAAAACTGAGCGCGTCTTCTCAGATAACACTTCTATCAACAGATTTGTAGTGTCACAGGCAATACTATCATGTCTAAATTTGATTTATGATAATTGGACCGATGAGTCAGATTTGTATTCGATTAACACTGATGGTGTGTTTATGACAAACCCCAAGCACCAATACCCAAACAAGAAGGATGTTGTTGAGTTTACCATCGATCAGATTGGCAATGTGTTTACAACAGATTCAGAGTGTGTGTGTTTTGAAAAACATTATCGTGACAATTTTGACCCGGATGACGATACTGATTTTGTGGGCGATGGTGTGATTTATTACGGTCAAGCAGGATGCGGTAAAACCACGAAACTCATCAAGCTGGCATCAGAAGCAACAAATCCGATAATCTTATCATTTACTAATAAAGCGATCGAGAATGTGAAATCACGAATCGGCGACAGTTTGCGTTACAAATGTTACACTTTTGATTCGTATTTTAATAGTTACCATAACCGGGACATTTCCCATCTGGCGGACAAAACAATATTTATCGAGGAATATTCTATGACCCCAAATAAGTGGATGAGTAAGATCTATCAAGCGTTCACTAAATATCACAATACACTCTTTTTTTTATATAAGAATATATTTTATAAGAATATCGAGGCTGAAATTTGCGAAATTTTAAGAATATTTTAAGAATAAAGCCAAGGCTGAGATTTTGAAAAGGATAGATATAATTTTGTGTGTTGAAACATCTGTAAATACAATACAATTTTATGTTTTTAACTTAACCGTATAAAATTATTCCTTTCTCTTAACGGCGAAACTAGCCAACAAAAAGAAAAAACAGCACTAGCTATAGCAAAATGACAGTTCGATGAACGGTACATGTAATATATATACATATACCCCAATAAATTCTAAAACGGGAATGTCATAAGCTATAACTTAAGAATAATACAAGAATATTTTCAGCCTAAAATCGGCAGAAAAATAAGAATATTTAGCCTGGGCCGGAAAAACAACATTCTTATATAAAAAAAAGAGTGTACCGTATTTATGTTCGGTTATACTAATCAATGCGACCCCGTTAAAAAAGGCCGCCGGATACATTATAATTATTTCAAATCAGTGGCCATATCTGAAATGTGCTCGAGAAGAGTTCAAATGAAATACAAAGAAGGTTGCTCGCGCTACGATATCAAAACAAATGACATGTTAACAAAGTTTCTTGAAACGGGAGCGGTAACGGCTAAATTTGCTGACAGAAAACCCTTGTACAAAAATATTTGCTATTTGAACTCAACCCGACAGAATGTTACGCGGGATTGTTGTGAGAGATTTATCGCGGGCAAAACATGTCATTTATGATGGCAATAAGGAAACGTATCCCGTTTGTGTCGGGATGCCCGTATTAGCAACTACCAATTTGAAGACTGAGGAGATTTATAATATGATGGAGTTTCATGTGGATCATATTGACGATACTAATGTTACCATTAATGGAAGTCTTTCCTATCGGTACGTTTGCTCAGTCATTCATTCCCGCTTTTTGTTGTACTGTTTACAAATACCAGGGCGCTGATATTAGCGAACCTTATAACATTTATAATGTCAATCGAATGGACAAGAAACAACTCTACACAGCACTATCCCGCATAACCAAATTCGAATATATCCATCTCAACACTAGTGCGCTGAACCATGTTTATGATTAGAAAGCAACCAAATATGGAGATCGTAAATTCAATTTTCAATAGCGACTACAATAACGGGAAGATTTACAAGATCGAATTTGAGAAATGTGACAAAGCTTATATTGGCAGTACAACTGGTGAGCTCAAAACACGGTTGTTGCAGCACCTGACCAATAATAAGAGCCCCGTTTATCAATATCGAACACAAAAACCTCATATCAGTCTCCTTATTGTTAATGCTCCTAGTAAAGGAAAACGAGAATTGGAAAAAGTAGAGTTCCAATGGATAGCCGAATACAGTGAGAAACTAGGAGATTGATTATTAAACAAGTTGGGCATTAAAGTGTCGCGTAAGGAAGTAAAATATCAAGCACAAATGGCGGCCATTGATGATGCGACAGAAAAGTTGTTGCAGGATAAAATACAAAGACTTGGGAAAACATTACGTATCAAGGATGACGTTGTAAACAAACTGTTATATTATGACGGTAAGAGTAACGGTAAGCGCTACGCTACAAAAGCACGTTATACTGAACAATCTAAAGAAGAAGCTCTGATTAAGATCACAAAAAATCAACAATTGATCGATGAATTGACAATCGATTTTAACTAATCACTAGTTACGTATACAGCTATTATTAAGTAGGGGTTTCCCCGAGGAAATAAGTCATCAGAAGATTCTAGAAGGCTATACTCTCAGCCAATCAAACGATTACACAAAATTTTCCACAGTCTGTAGAAAATTCTGTGAGACTATAACAGCTCGTGTAAAATGTTGTGTAATGAGTGCAGGCAAAAACGAAAGACATTTAAAGACGAGCCGAGTTAGTATATTATGAAGTGTAATAAAGAAGTTCATGAGTTATTGATCCAAGAGGGTCAAGTTAATTGTATCTTTTGTAATAAACAGATTCAGGATCCCGGTAAGCCCAGGCGATATTTTTGCTGCGATTCTATGAGACTGATCAAGGATGACCTTCTTGTGTGTAAAAATTGTGGCCAAGTTCATCATAATTTAACAGCAGACGAGTATGTGGATTTTTATGAGAACAGATACAGAATAAAAAGAAAGTCCGTATATTACAGAAAATATCACATCATAAATGTCATGGATAATATCGCACAAATAAACAGCATTCAAATTGGCTACTACAATAGAGAAAATATCCTGAGAATATTCAGACTGATTGATAATGTTACACCGGAAGTCAATAATTGTGACCGAAAAAGGCTTATTAGTGTAGACTTTATAATTAAACAACTATTTGATATTTTAGGAATAGAATACAAAATTATTCCTCTTACTCGGATAAAAAACACGTTAAAATATTATGAAAATTGGTGGAGAGAGTTTATGCTCTAATCAAGACCGATGTTGATTGGCTGATTTCTCAGAATTTAGACAAAAAGTAAGGGGAAGCCCCTAACCGGAAATAGATTTTACTCATTGAACGAGAGGGCCCTGGGAATGAGATTAGGGCGAAAAACTGTCCGCCATCTTGTTTACTCGGTAGAAGCAGTGTCTGTTGAATGGGAAAGGAACTTTTTAGCGTACTGCTTTTCAAATCTTGTCACCAATGGAGCAAAATCCACAATTGTTTCATCCAGGACTGTCATTTCCTTCAAGAAGTCGTTTTTAACTCGTGGGTACGCGCGAGCGTACCACGAGTTATTGCAGGGACAGAGATATGCAAATGAGTCACCTGCTCACTCGTAGTAGACGCACTTCGTAATTAATCGGGTCCGAACTCGAGAGCGCGAAGATCTATTGTTTCCAAAGAAGCACGCGCTCGCCGAAGTTCGGTAGCATCAAATTCCTCGCTGAGAGCGTGCATCGTGCGCTACAGCACGGTTAGGACAGAGGTCTTACCAGATTTAAGACACGCAGGAATCTTTCAAATTAGTACTATTCAAAAGCCTTTGACCCGTCCAGGCTTTAAACTTGAGGAGAAGATGAGTATTTGCTCTTCGACTCCTTCAACTTCGACGCTGGCTTGATCTCCTACGTTGTAGTAGTGTAGTAGGTTATGTGTATGAATGAATTTATGGCGGTCAGTATAAAACGCGGACTGCGGACTGGGTATAAAATACGGACTATAAAATACGGACTGGTGAAATGTATGGCAAATAAAGGCACTTCTTCTTCTTCTTCTTCTTCTTCTTCTTCTTCTTCTTAAGGACTGTCCAAGATCACGGGGGGAAATGGATGTGAGTTTGAGCATTACCTTTGAAATAACAGCGGAAATCGAGATAAGAAAACATAAGCTAATGTTTTGCGTCCTACTTCGCGGAGGAGTTGTGTCGGCTTTGTATCGCATATGTTCTTTCATTGCCATGAAATGCGTTTACATTGTTTGTTACTGTCAGTAGCCTGGTTTCAATTAGCCTTAATTTCATCTGATTGCTTCGAGTCGGTTTTTCAATCCGTTAAGTATGGCTCGATCGTTTGCCCCGGTCGTTTGCCGGCGGAAGTTCCATAATCATGTGACCATCCTCAATGGCGTAGTGGCTATGTGAGGTCGGGTAAACCCGAAGGTAGAGGGTTCAAATTCTGCTAAGGACCTTCTTTTTCCCTNTTTTTTTTTTTTTTTTTTCTTTTTTGTTTTGTCTTGTTTGCTTATTTGTTTTGCTGTTTTTTTTTTGTTTTTAAATATATACTTAAATAACTGTTACTAAAGTGCAATAAGCAGCAAGAAAAGTATTGTGTTTTCAGAACAAGGATAGTATATTTATAATCTGAATTTCTATCATTTCCTAAATTTCACTGTGGGAAAACCACAGGTGATAACTAATTGATTATTTTTTAAACAACGTACCCACGAGTTGACGATAGTCTTTCTTTGATTATTAAAGGTAGCACCACGCAGCGAAGTCCTCAGCTCGACTAATACTTTATTGTAAGTAGTGTAACAAAATTTTGACATTTCTATTTTTTTTTATGTAGTCTTTTGTCTCAGAGAATGTTTTTAGAGCTAAACCAGCACCTGATATGCTTCCTATAATGGCTGGGTTGGCTGTCATACCGCCAGCAACTGTCCCGATTACTATCAGGCCAGTTGAGGACATATTTAATAGGAGATTCAGTCTTTTGAAGTATTTATAGGCCTTCTGGTAACACCAATACTTGAAATGATAATATTTATACAATTCTTTGATCTCCTGGATCTCCTCTTTTGTTTTACTTTTGTCAATATGACTCTGAGTTGAATATATTTTCCTTTTGACTCATTATATTATTGATTTAGACTATTTACAGAACCATTATTTGATGAAATTCCCTAGAATCTAGGTCATGAAAGTTTGGAGTGTACATTATTTTATAGATTGTTGCATCTTCTGAGAATATTCTGAATGTATAGGTACTTTAAGATGGTAAAGCTGAACTTAGTGTTAGTGTTCCAGCATAATTACTAACTGAAGCTTTTACTGTTAGGTCGCCCCCTGCACCTTTCTTAGTTAACCAAAACACAACAAGTTTACCATTGAAACTATTTAGTAATGTGATAGAAGTTTCGTTAGTTGACCCAGTTCTCAGACCATTAGTTTGCAGTTTTAATTTCTTTGCTGTTTTTCATAAATCAAATGTAGTTTTTCATAAGCTCCATTACTCATAATCGTTTTTATACTCAGTGATTTGTTCAGCCATGGCTGCATAACAACGCAAAGAGTAAAGTTCCTTTTACTGAATAATTCCAAACTTAATGTGGTATTATGTAACCTCAATCCACCCTCCAAAACATTGGTAATATCCATTCTAGGAAAATAAATATTAGGTAGGATGCCTGAAATCATGATACCTGATATTCCTTGAACTATTTTATAGTTACTAGCATCGCGTAAATCATAAAATTCTTCAAATATTTCCCTGTACGCATTATTTGTTGTATGAGGGCTCAATTTTGTGTCCAAATCTTTGACCATCTTTACAGTAGCTGCTGAATTATTTTTAGTGCGATCAGGAGCAATGTGTAATATTTTCTTTCTGTTCATATCCAGATCAACATTGTAAACAAATTCAGTCGGCTTAATATCAAATGCCGTATGATAATCATATGTTTTTTGGGGGATCGATCGATGACACTTTTCCGAAAACACCATAAGCAATCATCCAGTTATTTGTCCAATTTATCGGATAATTATTGAGATCAATGCCCGATTGGGGTATATTAACATAAAGATCCAAACTGTAAAATGTACCTGATACAGTTTTTTGAAAGTTTACAATTATTTTGATATAATACATACATGCAGTGTTCCCACTACTATTTGTATACCGGTGAGAAAACTTCGGTACCGTAAAACCAGCAACTGATACCCCCTTTGACGTGGTTTTATCAATTGTAGCAAATGATTAATGCCATAATTGGTAATCTGAATTGAGGATTTCAATACACAGAGTATAATCTTTATTTTATCAAGTTGATAACAATTGATTCCCATTTTATAAGAGTATCCTCCTTGCTGATCTTTTATGATGGTTGTATATAGAACTTTGTGGTTGTATTGATGGTAGTTACCATCTTAGGGCATTAAATTATCAATTTTAGTAATGTCAAAACTATCCGCTTGAAGATCAGTCCATGCTAATCTATTAGTCATCAGGTACTTGAATTCATTATTGTAATGGTTGGGTTTAACATGAGATTTTTCCAAATACTGCTTATTAAGAGCAATTCTCCAGGAAAGTGAAGCAAAGTTGGAAATGAAACATTTTAACCCCCCTTCATTTTTTGTGTGGAGGTAGGTTACCTGGGGGGATGAACAAAAACAACCATATTTTGATCGGCAGATGTATCGTTGCCATGGTAACCGCACTTGATCGCGTCGGCCAGACGTCTATGTTTTGACCAAAAAATTCACTCTCAAGAAGTAAAAATAAACGCGTCTGGTTCTCAGCGGCACTTGAACCAATTCAAATGAAATTCATACAGATGGTAGAGCCACTCTCCTAGTTTATAAAAATCGCCGTTAAAAGATTTTAAGTTTTATAGACAAGACGAAATTGCTCGTTTACTATGTCCCCTGTCGGCCATTTTGACAAGCAGGAAAAACAAGCACAACGATATTCTTAATTTCTCCGAAAGTACTCTTTCCACATAAACCAAATTAGCAGCAGAGCTTGCATAGATATTGAAGTTTCTAAATATCGTAATATCCATTTGGGGAAAATTATATTCTGGCCATGGGTGCTAAAGGCATCCGAGGCAAGTTTTAAAAAATTGCAAAATTGAAAATTTTGAGGGCTACAGTATTTGGCTCAAACAGGCTTTAGATGGAGAATATCAGATTCAGAAATATTTTTGATCATTTTTTCTGTTA